CATTATCGGTTTCTTTATGTACCTATTACTATTATCTATGTCATATACTTATTAACTATTACATGTTATGAGTTTATAATTTGTATAATTTATTTTAGTATAGATACCTACTTACTATTCTAGTATTTTACACTCATACATTTATTTTGCTACAAATATGAAATATTTATAATAGTTATTGTATGATATGGTTTTTATTTTTTCATAGTAGACCAACAAAAATATGTTATTCATGTAATAGTTTTTATTGGCACACTGAAATACGATTGTTGGTTTTGTTTGTCGAGTTAAATACAGAAGTATAAAAAATGATCATAATATTATGAATTTGGTGTTAAATTGAGTATAATTTATATTTTATTACATGTCAGGAGTGCGTGTGCGTCGATAAAAGTAAATTAATATTGATGATTTAATTTATAGGTACACCATTGTTGAAACTTTTAGAACTGACTTTCTGGAAAATATATATAAGTTAACTACAATTTTTAGGTTCTGAAAAATAACATGTTGGCAAGCTATAGAACATAGAATATAATATTATTTTTAGAAAATATTATGTAAGCTCACGTTTTTTTTATGAAATATTATACTCAAAAACTATTAAAACCAGGAAAACAAAAAACATTTTTTTGAACAAAAATTATATTTATATAATAATATATGTTATTCAGTTATATTTTCATAAGGTAGGTATTATTCTTATGTCTATAATTAAAAATAACTTTGGTGACGGTGCATTAGGTACTCAATTCATAAATTATATTTGGTCTACATTATTTTATTGTTAAGATGATGTTAGTACGCTGTGCACTATTTGTTTTATCTGTCGTATCAATGCGTAAAATAGATAAATAGAACTTTGAGTTCAGCACAACAAATGTTGTATTATTAGCTTTAATGTTGAAGTAATTTAATCTATAATCAAATTTAAAGTTAAGAAAACTTGTGTTGGTGAGTCTGGTTTTTATGATATTGTAATTTTAATGTTAGTTATGGTTATGTAAAATATTATAATTCGAAAATACTATATACCACAGAAGAATTTCAACATCATGAGAAATCCAACCTTCAAACACACATAATGTTCTTAAATTGGGTAGTCTCGGCCCTTCAAGAAATAATATAATAATTTATTATTATTTCTACCGGCCCATATTGGGCAAATTTTAATATTAATAAATAATTACCTTATCACGTTTTTTGACTGTACTATTGTCATAGCTGTCATAAAAATCGTGATTTGGCCATTTTCTCCTACCAGCGTAAAATGTTAGCGATCCTTCGAGATATTCTCGAATTCTCGACTGGCCTATCTGGCCCCAACTTCAATTATGATTTAAAAAGGAAAATAAAATAAATTAAAAATGTGGTATGTATGAAACTAAATTATTTTTTAAAAATTACGATAGGAATACTAAATATAAAAAAAAATTATATATTTATATATATATGAATTAAAAATGTATTGACAGTTTTTATTATCTTTTTAAATTTATATAAATAAGGAATATATTTTTTTAGCCAGTAGGTTATAGGTTGTAGGCAGCTTAAATTATTTTTATAAATTATATATAATAAATTTAACACATCAAATAATTATAAAAACTGTGTTTTTGAATGTTTTTGTGATATCGTGATAAATCACTAACTAATTTCCAGACGTCCAACCATATTATACGACAGTTAACAATTAATTTTGTACCAAAATACCGAAATTGGTAACTATAGTTTTGCATCAAAATATGATGAAAAAGGGATATATCTAAAATTACTTCTCTCAGAGTTAATAAGTATGGTTTATTGTTTGTACATTTAAAAACGACAAATTATATGTGAAATTGTGAAAGCATGTAAAATTTAAATTATGTTACAAATTTGTAATGTTTTTGACTGCGTAGCAATTGGCCAAGCCTGCTGATAAAAAACCTGTATTATATTTATTCATAAATTGAATTTTTATTTCCAATGGAAAGACAATCTACTGAAATATTATATCGTCTTTGGAGGCGAAATTCAAACAACCAACAATAATCTTGTATACCACTATCACCAGTATAATATCAGTTCAGTATGTTTTTCGAACATAAAACATAATAATATATTTTATGAGGGCCTTGATAAAAACTGACATGGGTCGTATCGATTTCATTTCCACCTCCATAACATCTATACAATATGTCAATATACATTATATTACTGTCTACTTATATAGTTATATGAATTGTGAATAGTGTAAGTATATACTTACGTAATAGGTATGTACCTAACCATTAATATATATGTCCAGCTATGACATCGGTCAAAAAATATTTAAAAAAAATTCAATTGCACCAAATGCACTGTCATATTAGAATTCACTATTTCCCGTAAAATAACATATTTTTAAGAATTCACTCAGTAACTTGTTTAAAAGGAAATTGGAATTAATCCAACTAATGATTTTAGATTCTATAACATAAAATTAACAAATATAAGACAATGTAATAAAAAAGCAAATCTCATGATAAATAAATACATCTAGTAAATTTGTTTTTATTGTTGCTCAAAACATTACATTTTTACTGCAGCTGGCTGAATTGGGTAGATAGATACCTACTATAACTTTGGTCCAGGCAATTACCCACCTTGTCCATATATTCTAGACCTGTAACTGTGTTCTAAGCCAATTTTTTGAAGCAAAGTTTTCAACATTATTTCACTTCTATTGTACATCTACTAAGTTGATATTTGCATTTCATTTGTGTCATTAGTTTTGTATACCTAATTTAAAATGAAACAAAAATACACTTTTGGATAACTCATTGACCTTTTATGAAATATGTAAATTACATCCTACTAGCTATTGATTTCTACTACAGTTTATAGGTTAATTTTATTAAATTTATGATTATGACATTCAAATAGTCAACCATATTGAAAGTTGTCATTTATTTATAATTATTAATTTCATTAGGTGGTTTCTTCAAGTTAGATTAGAAAAAAAACTAAAGAACTTTTAAAAAAGCTAAAAAATATGGTTTATTATGTATAATTTTTTACATACCTATAATTGAGAGTGAACTTTTAGATTTGATTAATATCAGACCAAATTTCCTGTTTGTACATAGCATAATAGCCAATGGTTGAATGGTTACCTATTTACCATAAAAAAATTACCATATTAAAATATTCTAATAATTTGATTGATAGATCTAATGTAATAGTATGATTTATACATATATGATGTACCATAGTATCAATCAAAACTTGGATTCAAAAGTGTAAGTAATGGCACGGGTTTTCATTGGAAAGTGAGTAGTACTTATTAACAACTACTCAAACTCTTAATTCTAAGGTCATAACATAATTTGCTGTTTGAATATATTATTTGAAAAGATAGTACCTACCTACTATATTTACCTAGGTACTTCTAATTAAATATCAACAGTATAAACATTTAAATAGGTATTAATAATAAATTCATTATTTTTCTAGAGATGGAAAATTGATGTTTAAAGAAATTCACCTCTAAATTATTGGCATTAAATCAATTTATATTCATCGGTCAGCAGAGACTGAAGGATTTAAAAAAAATGTATATGTATTATGTACCTATAGTAATTTGTGTTTGTCAAAATTATAAAAATGTTTTTGCAATTTTTCATTTATATTTTAATTTTATACATAATAAATTTAAAATAACAATGAACGTGTAAAAATTTAATATCAATAAAATCAATAACAATCATAACTTAATTATGCTTTTACTTGTTTTGGCCTTGAGAACCACGGAAATATGGAGTCAGAAATGATTATATACCAGTGTATATGTATATGTGTTAGAAGAAATACAAAGAATAAATAACTCTCTGATTGTCTTTAAAAATTCCAATCACAGATTGTTTTCAAAATGAAGGTACCAGTTATCTGCTGTATATAATTTAAAAATATATCTGTATTAATCATTAATTTTAATTTGTCAGAAATGTTTTTTATTTTTAGCTTATATGGTTATTATGTTATTTAAAGGTAGATAATTGACTGTGTTCTGTTTAAATTATTTCTTTTTTGTTTTGGCTTGGATACTAAGAATTACTTCTGATCTATGTGGAAATGTAGAGTATAAAAATCCTCATTAATGTGCATAATAGTAGTACCTATTAGGTCTTAAAGTTAAGGGGGCAGGAGGCGGTTTGAAACCTAGGTATTTTATACTGAACAGTGAACTTTGCCACAACACCAACACAAACATGATTTAATGTTTACATAACCACAATACCTATATGAAGTAGTGAAGTATGTAAGTCATTTGAAAATTAAGTAAACATTAAAACCTATATATTATTAAAGATATTCAAGTCTCTCTAACTGTATAGGTAACATATTTGTTTAATACCTATTATAATAAATGATAAAAAATTAAAGTTTTTTATTTGCTTACACTTCAAGTAATAGTTATAACATTTATATAAGTAATCAATATCATAATAAATATGCTAGTCACTGCAGCTTAAGTCTACATGTCAGCAAATTTATTTAAAATGTCTTGTTTACTTATAACGTTTGATTATTCACTTTAAAATTGCGGAAGGGCTAGGGGAAGGTTAAGATAGGTGGTACCCACCACAAAACGACTTAAGATCATACACGAATACAACATTTTTTTAGGGGGTCTTATAACATGAGTACCAGAAAAGCCTCATTAGACTCCGGTTTCATTGTTATTGAAAAGTTTATTAGAAAATATATATTAGGTATTTGTTATTTGTTAGATGTTATGGGTATTGTTATCATTTTGGATTTAAATTTTAACAGTACCTATCTAAGTATTATTTAGGACCATACTATAAAATTTTGAAAACTGTACTACAATAATAAATAGGCAATGATTAATGAATTCGTAAAATATTGAGAAACATATTTTCTATAATAGCATCAAACCATTAACCCAATTTTTTGTTTTGTTGTCCAATATTAAATAAATAATAATAATATTTTATTTTTTATTTGGTTTTTAGTTATCTGTATTGTGGTCTGCCATATTGCTGTTACAAGTGACAGTGACTGTAGTTTCTGGTCAAGAAGAGGATGTGACAAAGGTAGATCTCGATAATGCAATTTTGGAAGTATTTCCAACCCAAACACCCTCACCACCGCCATCGGATCGGTGTATATGTGTACCATACTATTTGTGCAGAAATAAGACGATTAACACAGATGGTGAAGGATTAATAGATATTAGGTATGTTTCATCACTATAATTGTTATATTTAGAGTAGGTACTAGAATATCTAGAATATTCGAACTATGGTGACGTGGTGTGATTTCACATTTCAAAATTATTCGATGTTAAAGGGAATGCAAATAGTCATGTACCATTTGTAATCCGATTAAGGTATTGATTTTTGTAATGATGAACAAAAGTACAGTGAGTACCTAAATTTGTTAAAAATAAAAACATTCTCAGGCGTGATGTGTAGTCGCATTGAAACGTGTGGAAGTTAGGCGTCCACGCAAACAAATATACATATTATAATATTATTTCGATAAAAATGAAATGTTCATAATATTTACAACGCACGCAGCAACCTGACGTCTAGTACGCAAATACTCTTTATATTATAAATATTATTGCCTATATTAAACTCCTTAAAAGTCGGCATCGAATTCGTACCCGCCATGTATTGTCTCCGTCCTACTAACTCATTAAGTCGTAAAATTGTACGTTCCAAAGAGTAAATTTTGCTTTGTTTTTAGATTATTAGCGGAGCTTGTTGATTTTACAATGATAAAAGTTCATTTTTTTGAGGGGTTTTAAATTAATTGTATTAAGATATTGATTTACAGTGACCTATTCAATGACGAGGTACACTCGATACCTACTGTGCAGCAAAGCATTACCGACTCTCCCGCTTATCAAATTTAAATATTATAGAGAATTGATGTATTAACAAATTACTGCACGTAAGAATATTATCCTGGGCCCGATATTTTCGATGTTTAGTTATTGTTGAAGAAAGTTAAATATAAAAAATTTACGTGGGGCACTGGACAATACTCTCTTTAAATTGTTTAATAGGTATAATATTAAAAATAACGTGTACGACATCATCTTGGGGAAATTGCAAGCGTACCTTTCCAAATGAGTAGATAGGCAATTACTTTAACGCATGTGAATAGTAAATAATCATTTATAAGAATGTCACCACCAGCGCCTCGTATTCGACTTCCTATTGTGCACTCGTGCAAAATAATAGTTGTGATAGACCAAGACCATAGTTTATAATTTTAATACAATTCTCAATTCTGTTTAACAATAATCGTTCTATTGAATAACTAATTAAAGTTAACTTATACTTAAAACCCTGACTGCAAGTTTCAAAGAATGATTGAATTTTTATTGCATAGAAACATTCATTGACCTATTCTGTAGGTTATTGTGGAAGTCGAGTTTTAATAACCTTTTCATTCATAAAAATAATCGAAGGAAATATTCAAAATTTTAAAATTTTAATAAATCATAATTAATAATTTTTAAATATCAAAAATATATTCTCAGAATAAGCACCCAAGAAAAAAAAGCAAGATATAAGTAACTCGATTTTTAAAAAATAATATTTAAATCCGATTATTCTAAGTAGGTGTAGTTCTAGCAGGCTTTAATGGTTTTACTTCTAAATCTTTAAATAAATACACTGCTTCCAACTATAACTTGTTCTTTGAGAAAAACAGGTAACAGAATATATTTATGTATTCTTGGAGAGCATTTATCGTTATTTTAGTCATAAATGACCATCTTTGAATTTAATTTACAGGTTTAAAGAAGGCCCATGTCCCAACTACTTGGACGTGTGCTGCTACGATCCTATGAAATCGTCAGAGACTTCAAATATATCTTACGATGAAAAGCGTACGATCTGTGGTCATTGGAACTCTGCTGGCGTAGGATTCAGAATAACTGGAAACTCAAATAACGAAGCACAATTCGGCGAGTTCCCCTGGATGATGGCAATTCTTAAATTAGAACCTAACCAATCCAAAACTTACCTGTGCGGTGGTTCATTGATTCACCCAAAAGTCGTGTTGACTGCAGTCCATTGCGTGCATGGGTACATTTTGAATTCTTATTCTAATTCTTATTTATTGTATTTAAAAGGTTCTACCCTAAATCGCAAATATACTACGCGTTATATATTAATTATTATTAATGCATACATTTTTGAAACAGATTTGTACCTTCGAAACTTATACAAACTAAAGTTGGTATAGTTGCGGTCGATATTTTCTATTTTTAATAAGCACTTTTACAAAATAAATCTTTAATAAATATTCCAAAAAAAAATTTTTTTTAAGGTGGTTATCTTTTGGCTATCTTTATTATTTTTAAATTTAAATTTGTTTAAAACTGATTATTCCAATAATTCATTTTATAATAAATTATATTACTTTCGATAATATAATATTATGTAAAATGTTTAAATGCATTATCACACTTCTTTAACACTTATCACGTACTTAATTACATAAACAATTAATAATTATACTAGTCGAATAATGTTCAATTTTCATCAGTCAACTTTCTATAAAATACAAATAGTACTGTTTGGTAGGAGGTATTAGTTATTACAATTATAATAGCTGTTATTGATTCTAAAATTAAAACCATTCGTATCATACTCAGGCACTATCGATTTTAAACTGCAGAATCAAAAAATTTAGTTTCCCAATAGAACAGTAAAATTATTTTCTAAAAATCATAGTGACGGAATTTTATAAAACAAATATTTCATAATAATTTTTTTTTTTAATTTTAAAATAGTGATCTATATTTACCATCCGTATATAATCATATCTTCATATCATTTTATGCATATGATTAAAAGTTGAATAACCAATTTTATAAACTTCAGTTAGTATTTTGCGCATGGCGGGGCATAACCTCGTTTTTACATGATAAATAACGTTATGGTGTTATTGAATGTTATTAAATGTGTATTTTTTTTCACAAAAGCAAAGACCCGAACGATCTAGTAATTCGAGCTGGTGAATGGGATTCACAAACGGAAAACGAACTGTTACCGTTACAAGACGGCCAGGTCTACAAAATAATCAAACATGAAAAATATTACGGCGGCGCACTTTTCAACGACGTGGCGCTGATCTTTGTCACCCAACCGTTCTTGCTCAGAGATAATGTGGGCACTCTTTGTTTGCCCAGCCCGAATTACGTGTTCTCTAGGGAAAGATGCTACGCCAGTGGTTGGGGCAAAAATGTATTTGGTAAGCATGGTAATTATTCACAGCTAATATAAAACATCACCAATGTACATTCCGTGTAGTGGTTTTACTGATTTATGAAATATTTTTACATGTATTACCCATAATAATATGTTTGGTCATTCAGCATAATTGTGTATTTGTGTAGAGATACTGCAATATCTGTGAAAAATGTCTGCGTTCGTTTCTGAGGCGAAATCGGAACTCCCGACATCTTCAACACATATTGATTCATCTTACATTTTTTTATTCTTCTCACTTTTTTTTTATTTAATGCGTGGTTCGCTATAAAAACAATCATGGGATATTTAACCTTGCAGTCACTCAAGTTAATATTGTGGATGTTTTGAATTTTTATTTAGTATTTTATAATTAACTCTATAATGTTGTATAATACTCTATTATATATGTAGGTGTAGTTAGATATTATTTACCTTCAGTGAATTCAGGAGCAAATGCATCCATTAAATGTTTATTAATTGTTCATGCAACCCGGCATAAGAATACTTTTTAATCATTATATAACTCGAAACAGGTATGAAAATAACACTTCAGGTTCAGGGTCCCTAAGAGTTCACCAAATTGTTGGCAACTAACTTAAATAGAGGTGCTGGGTACTGTGCATCTACTAGAAAGATAGTTATAGGTGATTGGTTTCAAATTACCACAGTAAGCAATAATTTAATGTAAGTATAAATTATGTGATTTGTGGCAATAAGGACTTTTAAAAATTGATTTTGCCTCACATGCCATTCCCTTAAGGCCTAAAGTGACATTTTTTGGCGGATATCGTCGTAGAATTTATAATTAACGTAATTTATAACCGAGTATAAGGATGTCACTTAAAAAGTTTCACTATAATAACACGTTCATAATGCGTTTATTGAACACGAAAAAGCACAAAAAAAGACGGACTCGGGTCGTATTCATTGTTAATGATTTTAAAGCTGAAACATTTTGAGAAAACGAAAAAAATGTATATGTGACATTTCATACAGATATATTGGTATACTTATTGCTTTTTGCGTATGAAAGCGTTTTGATAAAACTTTTAATTTTAAATCTTATACAAATTATTGGAGGTGTCAAGTTTAATGTTGCATTAAGACTATTAATTAACGTTGTGTTCTTGTTCAAAACATATCAAGCAAAATCATTTTTTTATGAGTATCATAATAGTTGCTTAAATTCTGTAATTCTACTATTGTTTCGTTTCCTTTCGTTTTTATAATTTTGCTAGAGCGAAAATCATTTCCCAGTTATTTACGATCATACGTGACGTCATCGTTATCGTATTTTGTGTATTTTTAACGAATCAATAAATTGTTTTTTTAATTTATAGAATTATCGGTATACCTATGTAGTAACAGATAAGGGATAAGGGTTTTCACCTGTGGTGGCCTGGCCAATCTAGGTAAGTTCCTAAATTATACATAATAGGTAAAAAACATATTTAAGTTCCAATACGACGATTTAATAGACATAAATTTGGTTACAAATAATATTTCTTTCACAATACACTATTCATAGTATAACTTATATGGTTAAACAGACAGTGTGTACCTACCTATTGTTTATCTTATGTCATCGTGCTCTCGTTTTTTTTTTTATGATTATGGATCGATAATATGGATTATTTGTAATTTTAACTGTTTATTGTAATTTCAAAATTTGTAATCACGCAGTTGCACCAACAGCAAAACAAAAGTTATTTTTCAAATAGTAATAATTATATTCTTTAATGGATTTTGGTATTGCATTTATCCTGAAAATGCTTATAGAAAAAATATCAATTTTGGTTCATCATTAGGCAGTAATATAATTATTACGATTCTCTTAAGTTTAGTAAATGTACTAATAATTTTATATTATTAATTGGAGTAATTGGTATACACTTAATTTACTAGAGCTTTACTTTACTTGAAATGTTTATGCAATTTCGTATTTTTTTATACATTTAGGTAAACCAGTAATCTAATGACATAATCCATAAAAAAATGTATTCGATTTTGGGATAACCCAATTTACAAGATAGTTGTCAAACATAGTTAATTATTTTTAATTTATCTACAATCATAAAATAAGTATCACTATTGTAATTATTATAATCATTATAATTTTGATTAATTGATTACTTTACTTTTTATTCTTCATAGTTACTTTTCTTACAATAGTATAATATTTCATTCCTTTTTTAGTTATCTAAGGTAACAATTGTGTTCGATTATTATTATAATAATATTGGAAATGTTTAATTCACTCTGATTGGAGGTTTAACTAATGTTTAACCATCATATATTGTCATAATGACTGTTTATGTAAATATAATCCTGCAAATGCTTTATTTTTAATCATGATTATTAAAAGATTTTTGTTACCTAACTTAAGAAAACTTCGAGCATCGGCAATACGATGTTTGGCATATATTAATAAACATAGGTAAGACTAAGGGTTAGGCCAGTTAGACCATGGTCTGACCTAATACTTGTTTTCTAGAATTTAAATTTCAAATCAAAAACCTTTTTTTGTGATTAAAATGTTTTTTCATATTTATTATTTGGCCTATCCCTATAAAACTATCAAGTTTCACTTATGTTAATAAACCAAAAATGTATCAACCATTTAAAATTTACATTTTTCAATAGTTAGGGTAAAGGATGACGAGCGACGAGTAGAATTCTGTGAAACCATTTTGGAAAAAATAAGGTATGATGTAGATTTAATAAAACATATTGTGTTTAGTGACAAATTATCACTTTCCCTTTATGGATAAGTGAACTCCTCGAACTGATCGTTATTGGTCTGACGTCTCTGACTCCATTACTATAATTCCCATGTCACGATACAAGCACTAACTTAATATTTTTTTTAGTTGATTGAATTTCCAATGTTAAGGTATAGTGATTTAAAATAAACCATATATTTACATACATATTCAATATCAATTGGTACATAGTTAAGTTTATTATTCAATCTGAGTTAATAATTCATTTTCAACATTATTATAATAATAATTGAATAAAAGAACCCAAGTACATGGTATTGTGAGAAAAGTAACTGTAAAGAAAAAAGGTATTTATCCTAAAATCAAATACATTTTTTTGTGGAGTGTGTCATTAGATCGCCGATTTAAGTGTAAAAAGATAGTTAAAAAACAAATTATTTAGCTCTAGTAAATTTAATTTATACCAACTACTTCAATTAAAAGTGGGTATTAATTTATTAAACTTAAGAGGACTGTAGTTAATAAGCTAGGTAACCAAAATTGAAATTTGACTATCAAATTGTCAGATACAATGCTCTACCAGAAACCATTAAAAATTATAGTTGTTACCATTTGAAGAAATAAAGTTAATTTTGCTGTTGGTTCAACTGCGTGCTTAAAAATTTGACGTAATAATAAAATTGCCAGTTAAAAATAATATTCACGTATTTTTTCGTTTTTCCGAAATTCCATGTTATGGATCCATAATTATTAAAAAAACCACACGTATAACGACAGAAGATAGGTATACCTATGTATAAGTGTATAACCATATTATTCACTATTCTGTGATAGAAATATATAGAATAGAGATTACATTACTTCACATACACTTCCTGAATATTGTATACCTACTAGTAATAGTATACTGCTATAATAGTAATAATAATATACTCAAGATACATTTCAGATTTAAAATTATTTTATATTCCAATCGTCTTCAAAAACAATAAAAAAAACGTTTTATGGACAGATTACAAATCGTACAAGGTATATTAGTACTTTCTTGATCATTTCCTCTTAGAAATTTTAATTGATTAAATCTCGAAACTCAAAAGTCGGTTTATTAATCTGTTAATTTTTTCGACCATAGTAATATTAGTGTTAACTGTTAAGTAAACTTGATGATTGATATTTTGGCCACATTTCAGTGTTCATATTCAAGGAATTCAATAATTATTCTAACAGCTTTTAGCTTACATGGATATTGCCCAAAACAGCAAAAGGCTTGTTATGAATCATGATGTAAATAAATTAACATATCATCTGTTTTGTGGAACTTAACTGTGTAAACTATTTTATCATTATGTTGGAACTTACCACGAACAATTTTAAATACCTTTAGATCGAAACGTTGACTTCCTTGTAAAATCTTACCAAACCTTTATTATAGTGAACTCCACTGTAATTAGGTTAGGTATCTAATTACAGCGGTCTAACGGATCAGTGGAAGAATGGTACATGTACGTATTTACTACTAAGAAATGTAGACAAGACATAAATAATATAAGAAAAAAACTAATACAATGAAATTCTTATACGGACAAATGATAAATAATATTAGGAATCTAGTTTAAAAAATGTATACCCGGGGGCGTATTTAAGGGGGATAATGGGCCAGTGACATTCACCTTAATTATATACTTTATTACATACATAGTTTGTAAAAGGTAACTGTGAGAAACCGAGAACCCTCTATTATAAATTTCTAAATACGCTCCTGTGTACTCCTTTAGCAAAAAGTCCAGCTCCCCAATAGTTAATTAACACAGGTATTATATTATGTATACGTAAGTAAACTTTGTTTATATATTTCTTTCTATTCGTCGCATAGGTAAATCCGGCGTGTATCAAGTCATTTTGAAAAAAATTGATTTGCCGATCGTACCACGTAAATCGTGCTTGGAGTTGTTAAGAAAGACCAGGTTGGGCATGAATTACAAATTGCACGAGAGTTTCATCTGTGCCGGTGGGGAAATTGGCAAAGATACTTGTCAAGTAAGTGTTTTCTAACTTACATATAATACTAATAAGCTATTAGTCTGTAATACTAACTATGAGTGATATCTAATAATCATAATTTATTTGGTATTTTACTATCTAAGACAAAAAAATACGATACAAATTAACATATTTTAGAGTAAAACATTTTAAAATGTTTTAAATTTTCTATAAATTCAAAGTAAAATATTGTAGGTAAGAATCCACCTATACCGGCTACCTGTTTCCTGTATACTTACTACTTGTCAACTATTCATGAAACAGATTTCTAATAAAACATCCTTCATTCCTTCATATTGAAAAACAATGCAAATCGCATTATAATCATCGTCCTTTGGTTAGGTATAATTCATTTTTTTACTATAACGAAACAAACTATTTAATTAAAATGGAGTTCTTACATTTTCTATTATTATAGTAACATTACTTACGTTAAATTGTACAAATCGTTAGTATTATGTAATTATTTTATATAATATTATTCTGGTTGGGTTTTATTAAAAATATAAAATACCTACCCATATTTAAATGTTACTTGTTGAGTAATAACGAGATCATGTACTTACAGAAAAAAAGGTTTTTAACTTACAATTTAGACTTACAATTTTAATTTTTCTCAAAATGTTATTAAAAAATTTCTAAATCAGCCCATAGAGGAACGAGTGTGGCGTCCTCTTAAATTAAAAGTCTCATGATTCAATTTTAATTTTTTTTTTACCTTCCTATAGGTAATAAATAAAATCTGTAAAAATTGTATAAATACCTATATAAAATATGATGAATACGTAGGTATAGATAGACTTGACACATATGGGTTGCATTCAAAAATTGACTTTGCAACACCATTTTGTTAATACAAATTAAGTACCTATGTTTCTAATTCTAAGTCTATTTTTTTTTATATAATGTATTTTTCTGACTAAATGACTAATATTATCATGCTGTGTCTATAATCTCTTATTTATGAATATATTATTATTGTATATTATTTTTAGGGTGACGGTGGAAGTCCTCTGATGTGTCCACTTGAGAATAGACCCGAACAGTTCCACCAGGCCGGCATCGTGGCGTGGGGAATCGGATGCGGTGACGAGACACCCGGCGTGTACGTGGACGTGGCCTTGTTCAGAAACTGGATCGATGAGCAAATGGCTAGGGAAAATTTGGACACGAGCTTCTATGATCCTGATTACGTTCCACCGAATTAAATTTTCTCTGCATCTCTCTCTTTCATATAGACACACACATACCCTCCGGTCTCATTAACCCTCTTTCGTTCTTCTCTCGATTCTATATCTTTCTGTCATCAAGCCACCAGTCGAATGAAGCTAAGGTTGGCCCGGTTAGGGGGTACACTCGTCTAGGCGTGTATTGGTGTGTCAAGTGTATTTATCATTATCATTATTATTATTATTACAATTATATACTTATTACCATACCGAACAAAAATTATGTATGATGAGATATGCGATGCGATTCTATTTTAAATTTTAGTTTGTACCAACTTGTACCCGATCTGTGAAAATATACAACGCCAAAAAAACCGCATTACAATACATAATATGATTTTCGAATTATTTTTGACGTTACCCTTCAAAATAGTCAAACGTCTAATAGTTAAGACTACTCCACCCCGCAAGGCTCTGCAGTTTTGATATTGATAGGCCTCATTCTCTGCATCTAATTTGTATGTAACTATTGTACCTATCTATATATTATACATCGCTCGTAATATAATGATATCGACATGTCATCGTTACAACTTAATTCGGTAGACGTAAAAACGATCAGGTCTGAATGTCTGATCTTTAGAAAATATTTTAGTTTAATTCAACGAATGTAATTATAAATTATCCACAGTTATATTATTATATTATTTCTATTGAGTTAAAAATATATAGTACCTAAGATTGCATAATTTAAATTTATAATGTATTTGTATTGTATTATTATACTTTTATGAAATAGGTACCTGTCATTTGAACTTGAAACTACAAACTATTTATAAGCTAAAATAATGTTGTAGGGCTAACCTAAATATGAAGTTATAAATACTCAATTAATTTTTTGATTTTATGCAGCAGTATTTTGTCGTTTATTCGAGAAACTATGAAATAAATAATTTAAAAAAATACTATATGATGATTATAATTTGTTTTGTATTTTAATGTGCCTGGGTTGAAAGTTATTAGGCCGCAAATAGAATAACTGAATTTTGTTAAAATGTTCTCTTAATTATTATTTTATTTGTATTTAAAATATAACTATGATTGTTATAACAAAATGTAGTAATAGCAAAACTATTCAAATGCAAATGATTATCTTATTTTTTTTTAAATTGTATTAACTCTTTTTCTGGGATGTATTAAATATTAAAATGTCATCTTAATGTCCACACCTACATTTCAAAACTCAAAGACAATTTCGATGAAAATATTCACCAGTAGGCATATAATACCTGTTTTTTAATTTTTAAATTCAAATAGATATGAATTGTATTATTTTGTTTTTCTCAAGATAATACTGAAATATGTATGTGTACAAGGGGTCAAACCACATGCATTTTCCAAGTTAAAAGAATTAGAGAAAACAATACATTTTAATGTTTATCATTTCTACATTCATTTGTTGCTTTGTTGGCCAGCTTTTGCCCACATTTTCCGAGTAGAAAAATTTGATTTTATTGTTAATTGTTGTTGTTTAATATTATTCACGGCTTTGAATGGAACTATTACAATTTGTATACATATTTTTTACTTACAGTATCAATCAGTGTATCACAGAAATAAAACAATAATATAGTTTATGCAACAGCTATTATACCATTATATACATTTAAAGAAAATGTACTTTTGATAAAATAATTTATAATTATTAATTATTTAATGGACATATTGAATAATAATGATAATAATAATAATAATAATAATATATTAATATATTATATATTATACAAGGATTAATTTTTATACTATTACTTGAAACAGTAATATTTGTAAAATAAAAAAAATCTAACTCTATTCATCTATCCTAAAGTCAAAACACTTGTGTATAAAACAATAATGCAGCAAGTACTAAAGGTTAACACATGGAAAATAAAAATGTTTACTTATTGAATTAGATCATTCTTGATAGCTAATCGATAATGTATTTAAAATACTTCAAAGAAGTACAATAATAGATCATTTATAATTTTATGCAATTCTACTAATTACTATAAAAGCTATACTACATTACTACCCAAAGACAAATGAAGCTGAGATTGACCACCTAATACAATCCACGTACTGTAGATTGTGATGATTAAATTTTTTTTATGAAAATGTGACTACAATTTTAGTATAATTAATGGTGGGTATGTCACACTAAAAAACGGGTTAAATCTACTATCTTAACTTTCCTTGAATCGTCAAAATCAGTCAAGTATTTTTAGATTCTAAGTGGAACGATGAATGTATTGATTTTACAATGATGTGTGTTTTTTATTTTTTTTAAAATTTTTTTTTGTGTCTGTCATCACCTTTTAGGACAGTAAAACTGCTTCGATTTTCTTCAACAGCAACTTTTCTGATTGGAAAGTGAATCTAGTTGGTACTTTGGGGGGTCAAAAGTAAAAATTTCCTAGTAGTTTTCAAAAGCGACGTGAAAAACAAAAGAAAAATTAAGGAAAAACGGGGATTTTTACGCAAAATCGATTTTGGTTTTTGTTGTAACTTTAAAACAAATGACCGTAGATATATGAAATTTTCACAGGTTGTTTATATTTGCATTTTCTATACACGGTAAAATTTTGAAAATAATTTGACTCTTTTTGAACTGTTTACGGACATTGTCAGTTTTCAATTTTTTTAGTTTTTTTTTCTATAAATATCAATACAATTTTATTTGTTGGTTAAAAAACTTGAAAATTTAATACAAGGCTCCTAGTATATTGTTTCAAAGGCAGATGAAAAAAATTAAAAATCCTTAGTCACAGTTTTTTTTTATAAGCATTTAAAGTTCAAATATTGACAAAATACGTAAAAACGACAAAAATTTGGAAATTATTTTAAGTTAGAAATTCATAAAAAATTTTGTTTTTAAATCTTAGATTTTAAAATTTAATACAAGATTTCTCATAAGTTTGTCTACCTTTATCAAAAAAAAAATTTTTAGAAGAAAGTCAAATTAAATTTTTATGAGGGTTTGAAATTCATATTTTTACAACATTTGATATTCACTCGATTTCTCATGTAACGATTTTCTGTTTTTGTTGTAATTAAAAAACGAATGGCTGTAGATACTTGAAAATTTCACTGAATGTTGATATTAGCATTTTCTAAACACGATAAAATTTTGAAAATAATTTGACTCTTTTTGAGATGTTTACGGACATTGTCAATTTTAAATTTTCTTAGTTTTTTTTTCTATAAATACCAATAAAATTTTATTTGTTGGGTGAAAAAGCTTGAAAATTTAATACAAGGCTCCTGATATATTTTTACAATAGCAATTGTAAAATTTTTAAAATACATAGGCACAAATTTTTTTTAAAAGCATTTAAAATTCGAATTTTGACAAAATTTATCAAAATCTCCAAAATTATTAATCACTGTAATTAAAAAATTATAAAATGTTCAGTTTTTATAACTAAGGATTGAAAATTTAAAACAAAGATTCTCATAAATAGTTCATACTGTAACCAAAAAATCTACAAAAAACATAAACACAGTTATTTTTTACAGACATTTTAAATTCAAATTTGGACGAAATTATATATTAAAATCAGTAATAACGATTTTGGTTATTTTGTTGTAATTTAAAAATATTATTCGTCGGTATAATATGAAACTGAAGAATCAAAAAAATCAAAATATAGCCTATCTATACAATCTACAGTTTAATATTACGATTAAGTCAATTATTTTGTTAATACCATAGATAAGTATGTAATATGTCTTAAACCAAGACTGACATACCGTCTCCACTCAGAATCGTTTTTCTTATACAATGATATTGTATCATTGAATTCAAATTTAATTCCAACCATTATACAGTGACCCACTTGTAACCTACTGTACAGCAGAGCGACATCCACTTACCCGCTTTTTTATTTTATAAGCCTCAATCATATACCTTAGCCTTCTATGTATGATAATTAATAATTGTTACCTATGGCTTCTAATCAAATACTTTTTAACCGATTTGGAATCCCAAATAATATACTTAAAAAGTTGGTACTAGTGGCAACTTATGTATAAACAAAAAACCCTTTGATTTTTAGGAGGTGGAAAAAAAAATTCATGTGTAAGCTGCTCTATAAGGGTAGAAAAACAAAGTTACAAACTCTTCCCAAGTGTCAAGGAATTTATTAGTATAACATTTATTGAAAACCATCCTGTAGTTTTTGAGCCTAAAGCGCCATGGCGGACAAAAAAGAAACATTTATTTATATATATATATATATAGATTAAGCTACAGAAATAAATGTATAAAAAAGGAAAAACAAAAACTAAACTGTAGGCACTTTTTTTATAATTAAAGTATAATCCTTTAATATTTATATGTATAGTAATTTCACAATGAATAGACAATGATACAATTAAATCTAATTTTTAAACCTAATGGCCCATGTTGCCAAGGACATCATATTAATAATAATAAAAAAATTAAATCTAAACAACAGAAAATAATAAATAACAATAATTCAAATCATTATTATTTCTGTTTAGGATAGTACAATTATAAAACACAAAAGACAAAAAAATGTTCCTAATTGTGACGTGAGTTACCATAACCAACATAATTGAGATTGAAATAATTACAGTACATATTATTTAATTTATGAATACAATCTCAAAGTAAACATATGTTTGAAATAATATTACACCACAATATTGTATTGAAAAAAATTCATAATTTTAGTAACTTGTATAAAGAAATGTAATTGAAATACAAGTAAAATTCTAAATGTATGGCACTATTTTATTGTTACATACAATTTAAAATAGAATTAACATAAACAATGATGTTACTTAAGTCAACTAATTTCACTTTTGCCAACATATTATACATATGATTAGGAGTATGAGACATTAAATAAGTATAAAATAAGTAAAACCTAAATTCGCAGAAGTATTACATGTACAAAATTATAATTTTAATGTATATATCATGCTATAAAAAGTACCAATGCATTTCAATATTGTTTACAGTAAAACATATTGTAAATAAACCAAAAAAAAAAAACAACTATATTATTTTTAAATAAGTAAGAAAAAAGTCAAACTAAAGAAAATAATAAAATTCAGAATCAGCTGTAGAAAATTGCAGCACAGATTAATGCATTACAATTGAAGATGAGCCAATATATTAAATAGATAATTATATAGATATTCACATCATTTCATTTTGGCACTGAATTCTGATTTCAGTTTACACAATATAATTGTATGTTATCAAACTTGTAGATTGAGGTATAAAGTTGTATAGAATCTACTTTCTTTTGTAAGTCTTTAGTTTTAGGCCTTACTTATGAATTATAACTTTAAAATATTTTTAATTTGGTATAGAAATATAATTCTATGTAAAAATTCAATGTTTTTAAACTGATGTATAAATAATAAATAAAAAAATATAAAACCAATTTTTCTTTTTAAGTCTTTAGTTTTAGGCCTTAATTATAAATTAAAATTTTAAAATATTTTTAGTTTGGTAAACAAATATAATCCCATGGAAAAATTCATTTTTGTTCACTGATGTATGAATAATAAACAAAAACATTTAATTGAAAAAAAAATTGTTTTGATTGAATGGTAACAAAAATGAAATTAAATAGATTTGAGCTTGTTCTTTATTAATTATTCATATTAGTTGATTAGTAATTCTAAGACTGGTTACTGCTTAATAATTACACATTTTCCATAATTTGTTATTGAGATAGGATTACCACTCTTCCACTGATTGCTTGATATACTCAGACAATACTGGAACATACTAAAAAAATAAAATAAACATTCATTTAATTTATATATTATTTTATGAATATTTTTTGATATAATATATTAAGTGCTATTCAATAAAGTAAAGTATATTATTAGAATATGTTACTAGAAAATAAGAATCATAAACTCAATAGTTATTTAAAAGAATACTAAATAATAAATTGATTTTATTTCAGTTTAATATACCGGGTGTTCAAGTTATGTTGCATTGAACATTAATCAAATATTTAAATATTAAAACAATTCATATGCAGGGACATACTTGTGGCGGTGAAAAGAGCATTTGCTGTAAAACCTATGATTATTTGAGTCATTAAAGCAGTTTGTGCAGTATAAATATTAAATAATACGATTTAAAAATATTGGTTTAAAATTATTATCAATTATCCTATTTTAATCATGAAAACCGTTTTTGTAAAGGTTTTAGTGTCAAATTTACCAGAAAAATTAAATTAAGAAAAATGCTTCGAAAATATTCAAATTATTTACTTAATACATAAATACAAAGTTATTGTTATAAATTACATCGTGAATTTTGAAATACTAATAGAATAAACTATACAAATAAATTATTTAAAAATTAAATTGATAACAGAAATTGTCACAATTTACAATAAATTGTATTAAAATGAAAAATGTATGTACCGGTCTTATGTCATTAAATTGACTCCAAGGTTCCTGATCTTCACTGCTATACTGGGATAAAAATTCTGGGATATCCTGATCAGCCTGAAATTATAAATATTTTAATTGTTGGATGTGTTATTACATAATAAGCTATGAAATAAAAATAAAGAGTTTAAAACAATTTAGTTTACCAGTTTAAGAGTATTAACTAAAAATGGAGCCATGGGAGAATCGTTTGTTGGGTCATAAAATGAAACAGCACGACCTGCATTTCCCAATCTACCAGTACGCCCAATTCTATGTACATATTCTTCAATGGTTTTTGGTAAATCAAAATTCACTACCGTTGTGACACCTGTTATATCTGTAAAAATAAAAATATAATTTTATATAAAAAAATATATAGTTGCATGTTGAGTGTTAGTATTACACATATCCAAGATAGAGTTCTGATAATTGAAAAATTAAGAATCATAAAAAATCTTAACTTGAATTTCTTTGTACAAGAAATACACTACTAAAATAAACATTTGAAAATTTAAAAATATGGATAAATATAGACAAAAAATGAACTTTGAGTTTAAGTTAATTTGTACAATTTGTTTTTATTTACTGCAATAACATTACAAAGTTAAACAATTTACTCCAGTTTACTTTCTTTGAAAGTTGTTTTCAGACATTTAAAATCAATGGAACTAAAATAATATAAGTTAGTAAAATGCATTTAAAAGCTAGCTATTCCATAAATATGAGTATAGTTAAATTATGAACACATGTAAAACACTATTGAATGCAGTGTCAACAAAACTGAAACTAATGTAGTATAATATTTTTTATATCTGACTTTTATTGCAATTTGTAGTAAACCTAAACAATGTCTAAGAATATTACATAAAAAATGTTAATATATAAATGTTTGCATTTAATTGTTAGGTATTTATTTATGTTTATAAATAATTTCAATATAATTTTTGAAAATCTAAATGATCGAATACATTATAAATTAAATATACCTAGTCCTCTAGCAGCTACAGCTGTAGCTACCAAGATCTTCATTTTTTTGGTCTTGAAATCCCTTAAAGCTTTTTCTCGTTCTGGCTGTAGACGATCGCCGTGTATGCTTGTAGTAGGATAATTAAGTTCACTGAGAAAGGCTGCTATGAAATCAGCTTGTCTTTTTTGTTCAACAAATACAATTGTACCTTGGCAATCATCTGTAATAAACATAATGTATAATATTGATAAATTACTAATTTAAAGTTAAATGGAAAGTATGATATTTAAAAAAAAAAAAACAAAATATTTAGTAGGTATGTACTGATTAAAAAATGTATACTTACTCGTTTCATTTAGCATAGCAACTAATGCTTTTTTTTTACTAAACTTATTAACTTCTATAAATGTTTGTGTAACATCTTTACAAGCCCCTCCAATTTCTCCAACAGCTACTGATATATAATCTGATTTCAAATAAGATTTAGCTATTTGTTGAACATTTGTGGGTAAGGTTGCTGAAAACATGATTGTTGATCTTTCTGCCTAAAATTAAATATATTTTTGTTTATATATTTATTATATACATATATTAGTAAATTAATGAGTATAGATAAACAACAGTTTTAACTTATAACTAATATTAAATTACAGTTATTTCAAATGATAATCGAGTACACCGGAATACATACAATAAAGAAGATGTTAGTTGGTCAGAGTGAAAATTAGCTCTTTTATTCCACAGTCGATACAATTCATTATTGCTATTTCCTCCAAAACTACTGAACCAATTTTAATAAAACTTATAATATAAGCTCTTTGATATCTAAATTGTGCATAGATTAAGTGTGGAATTTCTAGGTGCTATCATTAATTAATTAAGATTAATTACTCATTATTTGTATTATGATAACATTAATAATAACACAACAATACGGAATGTTTCTTTACATATATATTATATGGTTGTTATTGGTTACAGGAAAGTAAATAGTTATTTTCATGTTTAGATGATGTGTGTGTTTATTTTATTTTGTTGATTACTTAATACTACACCAAGCATTTAGTTAATGAAAAAATATGCCTAGAAGAGGACGACGAGGTAGTAACATTATAGGTTGTCAAATAATAAGAATAGGGGTAATCCGCAGTGTTAAGGTTATGTAATCTTTCAATTATGATACCAATTATTGAAAGTTAACAACAGTAAAGTTAAGCTATGACAGAACACCAAGATGAGTTGCAACACTTGTGAAACTTGTTTCAAGAAAATTGATTTAGCTAAAAATATAAATGTTTTTTTTTGTTCAATTTTATTAGAAACCAAAATATATTTTTCCTTTATCGCTCCGCCCCATTTTTGTCCTAGAACACACCTAGTACTAGTCTTGTATCATTATTTACTAGGTATATTTAAAATGAAAATTGAAATATTTACCGAAGACACCATAGTATTATCAGTTAATATGCGTTCAATATCAAGTGAAAAACCCATGTCCAACATACGATCAGCCTCATCAAGTACAAAGAATCGCAAAGATGAAAAAGTAATTAAACCTCGATTTACAAAATCAATTAAGCGTCCCGGAGTAGCCACAATTATATGAACACCTCTCTGAAAAAAACAAACTATATTAATTATATGTTTCTTGATGATATTAAAATTCATTTTACCAAAATTTTTTCTTTTTGGTGATAAGTTGCTGTTCCTCCATAAAGAAGTTCACATCGAATTGAAGTATATTTGCTTAATTTAGTTGTAACTTCACATATTTGTATGGCAAGTTCTCTAGAGGGCGCCAGAATTAAAACTTGTGGTTCGCAATGATTATAATCAACAACTAATTCAGATGGTTCACTAATTAAACTGTTTAAAATTGGTAAAACAAAAGCTGCCTGAAAATCAAAAATAAATTACAATTTAATCTATAATAATAAAAGCATTTTAAAACTCTTTTTACTTACAGTTTTTCCAGAACCAGTTTGAGCACTAGCTATCATATCTTTTCCATTCATAATGATTGGTATAGCATATTTCTGAATTGGAGTTGGAGTAGTATAATGACAATTGGTCAAATTGCTTATTAATATTTCACGTAGACCAGATTCTTGAAATGATGTTATGTGTTTGGGTACTTCCATTCCACTTACTCTTACTTCAATTTTATCGTACTTTTCAAAGTTTAATCCTGCTTCCATTGTGAAGTCATCATTTTCTTCAAAGTCTGGAGGAATATAAGTTGATTTTTGCTTTTCCATTTTACCATTAAAACCTTTTTTATTTGATTTTTTAGTAAACCGTGTACCTTGTTGGTATCCACGACCACTTTCATGATAACAGTTATTACAATCATTGATTTCTGAATAATTTCCGGTATCTGTACTATTGTTTGCTGGATCACATGTGATTGGATACCCCCAAGAATCATAGGATTGTAGATCAGAAGACTCGACATAAGTTAGTCCGTTATTTTCATAACTAGAAGTATCAGTTTGATATTCAACATCAGATTTTGTTTGATTTGAGTCTACACAACCAGTAACATCAAAACATTCATTGGTTTGATTATCACAAAAATTATCGACCACTTTGCCATCATCAGTATGACCATTGTTATTAATTGGATCCCAATCTGTATAATTTGAGCTCGCTTTACATTTATCACCGTTGATTTTAGTTGAATCCCAATCATCAGTATTAAAAGTACTAGCATACCAACTATCTCCTTGAACAAGTGTACGGCCAGTTGCATTTTGGACTAAAGGTTCACGTTCTTTATTTACTTCTTCCATATTGATGATTTCTAGAACAAAATAATTAATTGTATTTAAAATAATGTAAAGTAAAATAATAATTTAAAATGTCACAAACAAGTAATAAATGTAAAGAAAATTATGTATTATGTTGGTATAATAGGTACTAATAGGTACTATCCAATAAGTATTTATATTTATGCTGTGTTCATCATGTATCAGTCATATAATATTTTGACAATATTTTGATCAAATATTTGTTACATACTTACATGTAAGTATGACCTATTTTTAGCTGAAATCAGCCATGTATATAAATTGTATACCTGTAAAATATGGTTTAAATATAATCAATATTGAATTACTTAATAGGTAGGTTTAACGGGCATTAAATGAGTGATAGAATTTCAATTTATACATAATACTGAATTTCAATCATGACATAACATACATTTTTAGACCAATATTAAGGAGAGAAACAATATAGTTTCAAAGAAACTTCAGAGCAAAAAGAAACTAACATTTAAACATCAGAGAAAAGATATAAACAATGTTATGGTAATTCATTGTGTTCTTGTGTTAGGTATTTGCTTCCATTTATATATTATTTTTATTTTTAAATATGTATTACAAAATGAAACTATAGGTACACATATGTAAAACATGTATACATCTAAAATATAAATGTGGTACCTATAACACATAAATCTAATTTACTGAACATTTAGTCAACCTATAATGCGTCATGGTTTAATATTATCTAAGTAAGGTCTTATTCAAATATTTAGATATATTATAAAAACTACCAATTTTTGTGCATAGTAGCAAGTTATTTCATGGCCAGTTACTTTACTTTAAACTTACTCTTTTCTAACACATTTTTCACTTTTTCCTGAATAACATTATTTAAAATTACAAAATAATAAATATTTCTTGGCCACGTATAGTATTGGTGTAAAATTTACAAAAATAAAGTCAATGTCAAAGTTGACAAATTAAAATCTGATCTTAGAAGTCTTAATATCCGATTAATAGATCAATGATGGACAATAAGTAGGTATACTATATTTTAATCAGAAAAAGCACATTCTCACATGCGATAGCGAGATGAGATTGTTTAAGTTACATTTTATATAATTGATGTTCTCGCATGCTCACTGATTATAATTTACTATATAGGTGCATAAACATAACCACTACACATGTATACCTCATGTTGCCTATATTAAACTCCTTAACAACAAACATAATAATATTTCGATCCTCTTTACAATCAAATTTAAAATAATAATATATTAATGTACAACTATCCTGCTCTAAGGTTAGTGAAGTGAGACGAGCAGTGGTGTGGTGAAAACGGTTTTATGACGCATAGGCGTCTTGGTGGAAATTTTTTTTTTGATAGGATACATTATGGTAAGCACTAAGCAATAACATGACACAAAAATAAAATATTTAAATCCATTATATATTTTACTAAGGGGATTATGTATTTGCATGTGTTGCCTTCGTCTTACACATGTACGACTTAATATATTTTCGTTCCCTAGTTTCAATATAATGAGCTGTTAGTTTTGATATTAGAGTGAATTGACCTATGATCAAACTTTTAGGTACGAACATTATTCATGTCCTCTCCTTGGTGTTTTTATGATGTTTTAATTTTTAAGTGAATTATGAGCATTTTCAATTATTAATACTTTAAATACTCATAACTCGCTTAAAAATTAAAATATCGTAAAAAACCGACTAGATAATATAGATATTGTTCTTTACAAAAAGTTTAACAATAGGTCAATTCATTCTAAGATCAAAATTAACAGCACACTACATGTGTAAAACGGAGACAATACATGTGGGTGCGACGTTTCCTTAAGACTGGGTGCACCAGTACCCATGGGCCATGGGTACTGAAATGTACGCTGTGCATCACTCGTTTATAATAATTGTTCACCGAAACGCTGAAGACGAGTGTCTACCACAGGGCGTGTATTTCGTTTATTTTTGTACGTACATCAAACAGCAGTAATTCAAAAATATTTACAACAAATACGGGCCAGTAAAAGAAATTCCAAGAAAAAAAGTGATTTTAGTTAGATTTCTTGTAAGTTATAAGATTTTAACGTATTACAATTATAAAACAGTCAATCAAGATCGCAAAAAAAAAATGAAAAAAAATACCTGTAAGGCTGTAAATATTGCCTGTTGCGTACCTAACCTACCTACCGACCTACCCTAACAAAATAATAATGCGGAAGTAAAACTAATAAAAATAGGCGGAAATGAGTATTAATTAATAATTAGTTAATACCTACACGTGTAAACGAAGGATTGAGAAGAATCAAGCGTGTATTACACTCGATTTGGACAGACGTATAAAAACAATCAAAAATATTATATATCACAGTAGCTTACCTAGATCTCGTGGTTTTCTGTGACAATAACAATATTATTCTCGTTTCTCGTTGTCGATGTCAATAATAATGATGTTATTATTGCGGTGGTGTGCCGACGGGATGCAGAGAAGACCGCAAACTCCGGGACGAAATCGATAGGCTCAGAAGCTGACGGGACGTCTGTGTCGCGGGCACGACGACAAAGTGTGAAATACCGCGATACACTAAACGCCGGTCGTCATCGTGGTCTCGCACGGCGTACACCGGTTGGAGTGTAAACAGAGAGCGACTGAGCGAGAGGGGCTGAGAGAACGAACGAACGTTTGAGAGAGAGAGAGTGAGAGCGAGAGGAGAGCGAGAGCGAGACGCACGATGGTGAGAAGAGAGAACGGTCGTGTGGGGCAGAGAGGAAGAGAAGTAACGAACGATCGTGTGCGAGAGAGGCGCTACGGTGTACGGCGGCGGTGGCGGCGGCGGCGCTCGACGGGAACAGACCGAAGCAATAACAACAGTATTGTCCACGGGATGAGGGGAGGGGAAGGGTACAGATTTTTGGAAAGACGAAATAATTTTACAAAACCATTGTTCGGACCGCACCACACGAGTTCACCACCCTCGACGACGGTGCACTCGTACCCGACGGTTTCTACGAATTATATCTGTAGGCCTGTGGGTGACGCGGGCATACGAGGGAGGATGATTCTTCGGGTCACGCAGGGCCATAAAAACCAAGAAAGGAGGAGAGGAAAAAAAAAACGAAAACAATACGAAAAACACGTGTGAGGTTCAGCACGTATATACACAAACGAAAACCGGTCGAATAACATCCCGACGTTCTGGCTCCGCAACAAATGTGGTTGTATTTCGTGTGTGTTTGTAGATTCCGTCTATTATTCGGGTTCGGCTGCAGTTTCTTACTCTTTCTTACTTTTTCGGCAGTTCGGCGCCGAGTTCAACGGTACCAGTGCACACGGTATTCTTACCACATGTGCGTGTGTGCGTGTGTGTGTGTGTGTGTGTGTGTGTGTGTAAAATTGTACAAAAATCCCATTTACCCAACCTGAGAGTATTTTTTCGTTAGGACCAATTCATTCCGTTTTTAAATGTAAACTTGCTTGTGAACTGCGAAAAACCCAAAATTCCAAAACAAACGTGTAAACGCGCACTCGTGCATCCAACAAACGGGCAACAATCTCATCAACTATACCCATACCGTACCGAATGTTCGAAAATAGGGAATTTTCTAGTGTACCAAATATATAGGACCAAAAGATACGGTTTAAGAATTTGTGATAGTTATTATGGTAGATAACAAATAAAATATATGTACAAACATTTTTTACATTACACATTAAAATACAAAGTACAACGGTACAGCTGCACAATAATAAGTATATATTGCCATATTGGTACATTTTTCACTGAACTTTTTTGCCGGGAATTTCTTCCCGATTACTGTGTGTGTGTCGAAGCTATACGCATTCACCTCTCCTTTCATCAGCCACTCCAGAACCACATCTCGCATTTTCGCCACCACAATATCGGAAAGTCAGAAAATTCTTAATAATAATGTTTTAAAGATAATTCAAGTAAATTGAATATAATATTGTAATTAATTGGTAACAATGTCGTCGTCAGTTCAGTAATATTATCAGTACCTAACAGTAATAATATTATCGAGTTATCTAATTAGAATATCGTCCGTTCGTCAATTATTATACTGATCAGTGATCAGTTATTATTACTAATCATTATGAGTTTATGCCATGACTCATGGAACTGCGCTTGTATTAGTAGCTACTCATTACTTCATTAGTAAATGAAAAATTAGAGATAAAGTTATATCCGGGCTCCTGCACGAGACTGTTTCGTACAGGCGGTCGAAAAGATGAACAATAATTATCACGAACGGGTGGTGGTATATGCATGACTAATATTTAGTAATTGTTGGGGTACATACTATATTATAGCCTTAGAAAATCAAAGTTAAAAATAAGTCATACGATCAAAAGGGCCCATTTAGTTATTACACATTTTAATTTCACCGAACGAAAATCGATAAACGACTTAAATGAGACAAGACGTCGAATCAGCACTCCCAGTGCGTGGATTCTACCCGCAAACATATTACTATCGATGCTTTGCGTTACGATGCTATACGTTTTAATTGATTTACGAAGTTATTGAAAATGTAGATTGATAGAATTTTAAGTTTAAAAAAATGAATTCAATCATAAAAATGTGAGTGTGTGGTAAATGACAATAGTACATTATAGACTGGGCAGGTACAGACTAGTACAATAAATTAGTTAAGCTATCTATACTGATTTACCTATTACAAATTACAATGTTATACGAGCCCGATCGATTAACAAATAACAATAGATCGTAGTATCATACAATGATGAAAATAGAAAGGAAGTGAGGTTTAAGTAATAGTAAACTATAAAAAAACTTCTATAACAAAGTTAAAAATAACAGTACAAAAATAAATACTAGACACAAGTTCAAAAATAATGCTAAGTAACGTATGACTTCTTAAGTGAAAAAAAAATGTTCCAAATTAGCCTGGAGTGAAAGCGCTCAGAGCTAAGTGATAATGGTGCGTCTAAATTCAGTTATCCTACGAATTATAGAAAAATATTTGTGGGAAAAAATATCTTGGTATAGTTTTAACCGGAAAATACATCTGGCTGGTAAAAAAATATCTACGATTATGTGCATTACCTAGTATTTGTTCTTACTATTTCAAATCTTCTCTGTTTATTTGTTTAGTGATAAAATGTAACTTTATAACGATGCCAAAATTAATCAATCAATACTGTTTGACTTTTGTCAACTGTTTCGAGACGGGAAAAATAATATTATAAATAATAAACTAATTTTTAAAAGGAATACAATATTATTTTTGGAAAGAAAAATATATATTTTAACAGTATTCATATTCATTTGTATTTGTAATTTTTAAAAGAAATAGATTGTTAATTAAAAAAAATAGTTTCAATAATTTTCCTATTTACGTTTGGATTCTGAGCAGCTGTATTTTGGACCACTCAATAGCCATATTTAAGTATTGAAAATCAAATATTATTGGGAATTTGGCCCATTTCTTGAAGATTTTCCTGGAAAATAGATAAATTCTATACAGGTTTTATGGTATGCATACAAATAAGTGTACTAAAAAAATAAAATTTAAATGACACCACTGCTGAGCAGAGCAATGAATGTATTGATTTTACAATAATTTATGTTTTATTTTATTTTTGCGTCTGAGTCTGACGTCACATTTATAAAGGCATTTGGTCGATTTCTGTACTTTATGTCTATGTAATAGGAAATAATAATTTTAATGTATTAAAAATATATTTTTCAAATTACTGTACAAACGAATTGTTTTGAGTAGATGTATGTGTAATATTTGGTATTTTGTTATACCTGTCTGTCTAATAGTATTTCTGATTATTTTTGCACCACTTAACATAAGTGCAATTAATAAGGTAGGAACCAACACAGTTTTGAGTTGTGAAAACAAAGTAAAACTGATAAATACAAATATATAATTTCAACTAAGCTACATGCCTATGCAAAATATAATACAAAAATAATTGTTTTATGTTATATTTATTTTCAATTTGTATGAATATTGTAAATGATACGTTTCCAGATGAGTCTATTATAATAATACAAATGTATCAAGGGCATCCATCAATCAGAACGTAGAAGGGTGTCAATATCATAAAAAAGTTCAACATGATACATTTACCAATTTAAAAATTTTGCCATCCCGGGGTGTCATCCTCTGGTTAGGTTTATAAGTTATAAATTGCCAAACCTGTGAATAAAGTAATGATATGTTTATTTAGCTATGAGGCCACTAAGTTAATTTGATATCCAGTGTTCGAGCCGTATCTTGGACGTCGATTGCACTTTCCCGATTGAGAATTAATATCTTTGGCTAATGTATCATGTATGAACAGTATTAGTGAGGGTGTTTTTGAATAAATAAAAAAAATGTATAAAGGTGTTAAGTGGTTTTATAATTTTTCACTTAAATAATAATAGTAGTAGTAACTATCACAAATTAAATAATTGTATAAGTGATTGTCACACAATGATAAATAATAATAAACAATACAATTTCCTTAGAGGGCCGACCATGGTCATGAATTTTGAACCTTTGGGCTACGATTTCTTGATCTTAATGCAACTTATAGTTTACCTACAGTGGCGCAATACTTAAATTCAACTGTTAGGGAAGTAATTATATACATATAATAGCGAATACGAAAAGTTTAATTGAAGTTTTTATTTAGATATCTACACCTACATTTATATTTATACGTAGTAAGTATCATTGATTATAAATGCAGTCTTTACAATCAATATAGTAGTGATGCATTGTATTTAAACGTAAGTATCTATAATCTATAACTATACAATATTTATATTTTATATATAGACATATAATATTTACTTTGAATTTACTTATGTATAGTTAGGCAAACGGAATTTCAATTTAAAACCAAACAAGTACATGTTTTATACGATGAATAAACGTATTAATAACAAATATTATTAAATATAATATCGTATAATATAATACCTGTATTTTTCCCCAAAATTATAGTAAAGATTATAGCAATTATAACACTAATAAATAATCATAAACAAAATATAAACGTGTATTCTATCATGTTATTGTATTATGCTGTATCAAATTAAATATTCATACAAGTATGATATTAGAATTTAGAATTGATATTGATGTAATATTATTTCGATATTTCACATAATTATATACTTTTATATAGATGATTAGATGAATATAATATATTTATTGTTTTAAAAACTAAAAATAACAATATAAACATTTTTAACAGAATATTATAAAATTAAATTGTGAATCTCGAATATCTTTTAGACCGTATTTCTTCAATATTTGGTCTTGGTATTGGAGCTATGGACTTAGGAATTTCAATTTCTTCTGGTATTGTTATGATATTATATTCGTTTGTTTTTTTTTTTGCCAAATCGAGTACTTCTTCCATAATTTGTTTTCGCCAATCATTATCAGTACACTCATATACATTTTTTATTGTGTATTTCCCTAACGGTTTCGAGTATACCATTTTATCACCTACTACTTGTTTATTTGTATTGTAATTATGGTCCAATATAGCCATGATGGATCTTATGTACATACCTCTATATTTCAGATGAATTCGTTTTGGCATATATTTTAGCCTTACATTAAGATAAGATTCCAAGCGGC